CCCCCCCCAACCCCTTTACACTCGTTTTTTTACACCGCTTTTTTCATCGACCGTACCCTCCTCAGTATCAGTATCATCATCCGTCTCACGGTCTACTTCAACACGTTTTAAGATCCCCGCACACTCTGACGTATCCGTGCACTCGAGCTCGCACGAACCGCAGCGCTCGTCCTCGCAGAACTTGGGTACATCGCACGTCATTAAGAGCCGCAGGTCGCGGTTGCTGGTCATGAGCGTCTGGAGCGAGTCCCAGTGCAGCCATTCGTGCGCGCAGCAGGGGACGTCCTCTGCATCCAGGTCTTCTATCCTGAGCTTCCGCAGGGACGGCAGCGAGGCGAGCGAGCTGAACATCTGCTGCAGCGACGTGGTACTGTAGCACGCCCGGAGAGCCAGCGACCTCACGTGGGACGGCGTCGACGAGTCCTCGGGCTCGGACGAGGCCAGCGCCTGCACCAGGTCCACGCAGGCGTCCACGTCTTGCACGTGCAGGATGACAAAGCGCAGCTGCTTGGCGCGGCGCAGGAACTCCGCGGCGGACTGGACGGCGGACCGCAGCTCCGAGATGACGACGAGGTTCGCGGTGTGCAGCAAGGTGCTCGAGGCCAGGGCCTCCATCCCGGGGAGCAGGGGGCAGTTCAGCACGCGCAGCCGCGGCATGCCGGTCAACAGGGACGTGGTCTGCGGGAAGGTCGACGACACCCCGCTGATCTCGACCACCTCCAGGGTGGCTGCGTGCCCGGCCAGGATGAAGTTCACGAAGGGCTCCGACTCCGACGACAGCTCGCATTCGAAACGCCACAGGGACGGCTTGGACACGGCCGGCACGGGGCTGTGCGGAACAAAGATGGGCTTGTCCACGTCGTACGGGAACCTCGGGACAAAGAGTGTCTGCAGTTTCCTCAGCGACGCCACCGTCGAGAACAGCAGCCAAGAGCACTCGGCTTCGTCGTCGTTGTCGAAGACCAGAGTGAGGTGCCGAAGCTGCCCGCGCGCCGCCTGGTTGCGGATGACGAACGCGGCCTCCAAGGAGCCAGTCTGGGCCAAGAAGATGTTGAGCCTCAACTCTTCCACGGCGCAAGCGGTGGCGGCCGCCCGCACGGCGCACCCGTCCAGAGGCAGGGAGAGGCACAGCTCGCGCAGGCATGGCGCCAGGCGCAGCGCGGCGCACAGGGAGCGGTCGCCGTAGCGGAGCCGCCGGTGTCGCCACACGTCTCGGTGCACAGCCAGGCCCGCGAGCCTCTTGCACACGCGGCGGCAGGCGAGGAGCGCCGGCCCGTCCAGGTACTGCATCACCATCACCAGCAAGTCGTCCGCGAGCGGCTCCATGTTCTGTGGGGACGCAATCATCAGTGAGGCACAGGGGCGTGCGTGTTGACGCACGGGGCTGTCTCGCAGACGAGGCTTACCTGTTGCGGGGCGTTTGGAGCACGGGCTGGCCTGTCTGCTCGGGAGATGGGCTACGACTGTACTGGGACTGGGACCTGGGCTGGGCTGGGACTGAGCTGAGCGACGGCTTGAGCCGGGGCCGGGCTCGGGGACGGCCCAATGTCAGCCCGCGACAAGGAGCCCAGCACCCTCTCCGCCCACGGATTTTCCCGATCGCTCGTCCGGCCGGGGTGGGGGG